TTCCTTTTAGACTGACGTTTTCTTCATTTTTTGTCTGTAGCCATAATTCACTGATATAGCAGATTAAGGCTTTCTAAAATTGCAGTTGCTTAAATTAATCATTATTTAAAATAAAGACAATGCATTTTGCACTAAAAGAACATACTTTTAGCCACCAAAAATCCCAAACTGTGTCGACATTTTTAAAAAAAATCAAAAAAAATCAAAAATCAGATTTTTTTTATTTTTATCAAAAAAATCACCAACCCTGTCTTATCCCAAGTCTGAAAAAGAACAAACTGATAAAATTCAAAAGAGCAAACTTTCGACAGTGCAGAAATACCTTCGTTCCTAGAAAAATAAATAACATTTATAACTTTTACTTACTCAAGGTCGGCTAGAGTGGTCTCAAAGTCATGGAAGTTTTCTTGTAGCGTGATAGCAGCAACAGCTGCCTCTCTGTTTTCCTCTGGTAGGTCAACAACACCAGGCCTGAAAGCCATTTTAATTTTGACAAACGCTTCATTGCAATCTGCTAACAGATACTTGGCCTTTCTTGAATAAATCCGGACGACTCCAAGCAGCAAGTGACCAGAGGTTCTCAGCGCCATTTTTACCTGAAAAAGAATTAATTTCAACTCAATTCTCATTTTTATTAAAGATACAAAACAAAACAAAAAAATCATAGAGTAAAAGGTAATGTTTCATAATAGCCAGCGAGCACATTAATGAAGTCAGAGCCTTTCATTCACATATTCACTATTCAGTTAGCATACTTGCTGAAGGGGGGGAAAAAAAGTACACATGGTCAACAGTGACTGTCTACACATCCCTTAAGGGACACTAGGTACAGCTGAACTGAAAATTTTTGTTTGGGCTCTAAATTAAGTATTCTGGGATTCCCAATAACCAACATGGGTCAAGAAACAGAATCATACTATCCCTGTATGATTTCCCTGTCAATTTTCTGAATTCTTGAGATGCAATGGGTTCGACAGACCAAAATTGGCTCAAATTCTATGCGGGGATTGTGAAAAAGATTGAATTGATACAGCCTTGATATTTTCACACAGTGTTTCTGAATATACTACCTGCAACGTACTAAAGATTTACTTTCCTTAGTCTCATACTTTTCTTGTAACTGCCCTTTTAGTGTCATATATGATACTCGGACAAAAAATTGATCACAGATCAGAGTGATACCGTCAGTCTTTTTTACACTGACAGAAAACTTATAACAATATCACAATAATCTTTTAGTACGTTGCAAACATATTATCTAGAAACAGTCATGCAAAGTAGAATTGAGCTGTGACATGTACTTTCAGAAATATCTCCGCGTAGGTGACCCACCCCCGTAAGAAAATCCTAGTTTTGAGAAAACTGAAAAAAACGAATTCATACTGGTCTATTTCAACACAATGTTAAAAAACATGGCATATGTGTATATTTTTCATTTATTTGATATATCTGGAAGATGCACACAATATAAAAATGGAAAACAATTTGATTTTGGAAAAATATCACACTAAAACCCTCGACACCACCCTAAAAAAAAACAAGCAGATAAACCCTAAAAAGGGTAGAATTTTGATTTTTAGATCAAAATGCCCTTGAATATTATATAGGATGTACACAGTGCCCTGGAATTATAGATTTTATACCAAAATGCCCTGGAATTATATTATTACTGCAATCAAAAGAAGAATTGAAATGGAAATCGTAAACACTTGCGCACATGTCGCCGCACTGAGGCAACCAGAGTTCGATTCCCGAATGGGGAGACGTTTTTATCAAGCATTTCAATCTTTCTGCTGGGATACTGTATCCTTCACAGCCCAGGTTAGCCCTGACAAGCAGGGTCAGGAGCCTGCCTCCTAAATGATCTAAATTGAGTCGATGGGGACATCGATAAAAAAAAAAAGATAAAAAAAAGAAGAATTTCGCGTGTAAACATGCTACATCCCACCATCCTCACTTCACATTTCAAGACAGTCCAAGACAGCCCTGGAATATTATAACACAGTTAGTACTGTAATCAAAATATAGAATGAAATACAAATCGGTTACACCATTATCTATAGTGTAGCGGTTAGGATAGTCGCTGTCGCACTCAGGTGACCCGAGTTCGATTTCGAGTGGGGAGAAATTTTTATCAAACATCTGTCTTCCTCCTGAGATGTTGTATCCTTCTCAGCCTGAGTTGGCCCTGACAGGCAGGGTTGAAAGCCCGCCTCCTAAGATCTAAGTTGTGCTGAAAGCGGCATAAAAACACAGGTTACAAATTTTTTTTAAACCCTATAGTGGGCAGATAACTGATAAGCCATGTCTACTGCACTGTTCCACTTCCTGCCCAGCTGACCTTGCCTTGTGTGTTTACATTATTTTGGCTTCTGGCAGCTTTGTCTAGGGTGGTTCAGGAAAAAATATATTTAAAATGTACTATACAATCTACAACTTTCAAATTTCTCATGACAACAGAGAAATGAATGCTCTATGACATTCTGTCATTTAAAAAGTGTTATTTTTGTGTGCATTAGATTTATAGCACATTGATTCACACCTATAAGTGCAAATATGTTGTTATGTCACAATGTGGATATATATGACAAGCATTTGTACCTCTAAACCACAGTTTTTAAGAGGCAGGACCACATAATTTATAGTTCATCACCACCTGGGTGCTAAGTCATTGAATGGCTTTGAAAAATCCCCACCCATACCAAATAAAGAGCCAGATATACCCACGGCAGTGTCATCTTCACCGAGCAATAGTAATAATAGACTAGTTCATATTACATGATACCAGCTGGCCTTATGGCATACCCAATCAAAGAACAACAATTACAATAACGTATAAAGTCAGAGAAAGAAAAACTAAGGATTGAAATAAAGGAAAAGTTTAATAATGTAAAAACCAACTTACAGTACAGTTCTTGCGAAGTCCACATATATAAGAATTTCACAACACTATAAACTTTTTGCACACAACACCAATTCACATACTACTAATACTACACACATTGAAAAAAAAAAATCAAAGTAAACTATAAAAATACAGGTAAGATAAAAAAAATGTCACTCTCTCAGTGTTCTCGTAGAAGCCCTGTGGATGGCAAGGCCAAGTTCATGGTACCTTCCAAAACATATGAGTTTACAGAGGGCAACTTCGCAAAATTTGCACTTGTAGCTCGTTTCTACTGGACGGCCTTTTGGAGTTTTCCTCGCTTCTAAACTACACAAAACACACTGTTTAGGCCGCCCAGCAATACGAGTGAAGTGATGCCGTTGGAAACTCTCCGGGGCCACAGTCCCCTGGATAGTTGCAGGCCGTCCGGGGAGTTTCCTCGAGCTAAAACCATTCACCAGAGCCTCGGCAACATCTACACGGAAGCTCAAGTGATCGTACCCCTTTGCTGCGACGTAGTCACGAGGAGTCTGGCTCCAACACACATACGCATTATAGATGGAGGCGTTGATGAGGTGCCAAACGATGTACCTCCACCATTTTTTGCCAGGTCTCCCAACGGGGTAGTACGAGAGTTGTTGGTCGAACTTGTCGACCCCACCCATGTACTTGTTGTAGTCGATAAGTGAGTGGGGCCGACCATCTGCTGCAACACCAGCAATCTGATTTGAAGATAATACACAAATTGTTCTCTTGTCATGATATAACGTGGCAACAAGATTGCCCTTTTGAAGTTGCCTCACATCTCCCCTAGTTTTTAGTTTTGTCTTCATCAGTGGAGGGAGCCCTTTCCTGTTTGTCATGATGGTGCCACACATATATGTATTGTTTGCACACAAATGCACAGCGATGTCCACAGAATTAAAAAACCTATCTATGTACACATGATGGCCTTTGTCGTAATACGACGTACACAGGCCATCCACCACTTCAAAGCCGAGAGGTTTCCGAGGATCCCTTCGGCTGCTTTTCCCTGTATAAATATCATACCCAAGACAGTATCCAGTTTTAGAGTCGCACACAGTCCAAATTTTAACCCCCCATTTAGTAGGCTTGGCAGGCATGTACTGCTTGAAGGACAACCTACCCTTGAACCCTACCATGCACTCGTCCACACTCAACTCCCGGCCAGCCTGAAAACAGGCTGTGAATGTTTCCTTTGTAGCGTTAATCACATTTCTCACTTTGAAGAGGGGATCGAAACCCTCCTCTCCACGCTGCGGCTGGTGCTGGTTGTCCCTGCAGTGAAAATACCTGCTGAGATCCTTGAAGCGCTTGATCGGCATGATGGAGGAAACCCAAGGATCGTTGAAGCGACGGTCCTGGCTCCAGTAACACCAGAGCCGAGGCAGCTGCCGAACGCCAAACATAATCTGGATGCCCAGGAAGGCTCTCATCTCCGCTGTTGTAGTTGCTGTCCAACTGCTGGCGTTCTCCGGTCCCAAACACTGTTGGGCGTACCGGTTCGTTTCTGCCACCAGGATGTTTACCAATGTCAGCGGAAACAGGAGGAGGAAGAAGTCCAGGGGGCAGGCGTTTCGGGCAAGGTCGTGCCGAGGCCCAGACTGAGGCTGAAAGTCCAGCATCGTAATGTCGGACACCTCTTCCCTCCATGCCGCACCTTGATTATTTCCTTCAGTGGTAGCGGCAGCAGCACCACCATCACCAGCCTCAGGCTGCAGAAAAATAAAAGAGTAAACAGAAGATAAGACACAAGTAAAATAATTTTGTAATTGTCAGAGTGAAAGTATAGCAGTTGGCACAAAGAAAACAGCAAAAGTGAAAGAATGTTCAAAGAAGGTTGACCATGAACATGATTGACTAACTAAATCTAGATCTAGTTCAAAGTGTGTAGTACTAGATCTAGATCCAGGTGTAAGTTCTCATACAAAACAAAAGATACACCATGTACAATAGAATTGTAATAATTTAGTCAGTCTGAAAGTAGAGCAGTCGCACGAATAAAAGCAAGTGAAAAAACAAAGAATGTTCGCCACGGAAAAGACTAGATCTAGATCTAGATTTAGTTCAAAGTGTAGTACTAGATATCTAGAATCTAGATCCAAGTACAAGTATAATGTTCGCAACGAAAAAACTAAAGGTATAGATCTATAAATATAACCAATGTACAATGGAATTGTAATTGTCATTCTGAAGGTAGAGCACTTGGCACAAAGTAAACAGTAGGCTTAGAATTCTAGTGAAAGAACAAAGAGCAAGAAAGTTGACCATGGAAGGCGGCTAGATTTAGGTCTTGAAAAAAATTCTAGACCCAGGTAATCTAGATATAAATAATATAATCTATGAACTATTAGAAACAGCACATTCTCAACATGAGAACTAGATTCTAGATCTAGATCTAAATGAAATTCAAGTGTAGCATTTCTAGGAACAGATGAAGCATCATGCTCCATAGCGAGCTGTTAGTTGACCTCTGTGTGTGCCTATCTCCAGTCCACCTCTCCCAGCACACAACAACAAAAAACTAACTTTTCACTTACCTCCTCATCAAATACAGCATCCTCCGTGTCTATAACATCAATGTCAGACTCAGCATCAAGCTCTGTGTCACTTCTTCTGTCTTCCTCCATCGTGTGGTGTTTTCAAAAAGCAGTAGATAGGTAGAGAACGTCGGTCGGAGCAGCTGATAGTCAGAGTCACGAAACAGCGAGTGTTTTGAAAGACGCGCAAACCGTTCAACCCCAGCTGTTTAGCGGTTTATTTGGACCGGAGGTATCCCATAAAATCCTAGATGACATCATGACTATTTAAAGACACGGGAAGTCATTCTTTGTGGTTAGAAGTTAAATTGAATGTACGGGGATGTGTCGTCCCGGTTTCTCCCGGGTCGGCCGTGCAGCGTGGGGTCAGATCTCGCCCGGTTTCTCCCGGGTTAAACGCGTAGCGGTTCTATTTTTAGTCCCGGTTTCTCCCGGGTTACACGCTAGAGGGTTAATATAAAAAAAAACATTCTCCCTACATGCTGCATCCAACCATCCTCACTTCACACGCCACACTTCATGACAGACCAAGATATATGTAAACTTAGTTCTGTAATCAAAACAAAAAGGTGTAACCCAAAGGAAACAGGTGCCTGGCATCTACCACAAACAACATTGCGTAGCAATGACCACGAAAATCCTTTTTTTGCCAGAAAATGTTTGCAAATAGGTGCATTTTGTAGCTTTATCTTCACTGAGCATAGAACTTTTTGAATTTTTAAAATCCATCAATAAACAAAAAAGTTACGGATTTTTTAATCAATTAATTTCTGGTACACTTTTATATAATGAAAAAACCCCAAAATATGGGACGTTCTTTGATGAGTTTTGAGACAATATTCGTCATAACTCACTCATTTCTCTGAGTATTTAAAAGAAAATTGGCAGCCCAGTACATTTTCTAGTGCAGAATCTAGTCCTGCTTTCAGATTTTTCATAGCTATCCTATTTTTTTAGGTATGAAGACGTTTATAGGTAAAAATGTTGGCCTTTTTCGGTGCGTTTTGAGACAATATTTGTCATAGCTCGCCTATTTCTTGGAATATGTAAATTTTTATTTTTTTATTTTTTAAACTTGGCAGTCTAGTACATTTTTTAATGCAGAATTTAGTCATGCAGTCAGATTTTTAATATCTGTCATACTTTTTGAGTTGTAAAGACATTAACAGGTAAAAAAGTGGCGTTCTTTACAGATTTACAAAGATTATCAGTCATATGTTCTCCCAAAGTCATGATATTTGAATGAAACTTGGCAACATAAAAGGTTCTTCCTTGCCAAGCAATATTCTGGATCAATTTGTCACATAGTAGAGAGCTACTAATAAATCCAGTTTTGTACTAGTAAAAGCATGCATACTTTGTTATAGAAAATAAGATCGTCTCTGTGTATATCCATTGTTGGACAGTGTCCTATTGTGTGGTAGATTAAGATGCGTTCAGATAATATAGTTTACAAGTCATGGGAATATTTGGCATGTGTAGGCTACAACTCATACAATAAATGTAACATATTTACCCCTCCCCCCCCTTCTCTCTCTCTCTTTCTCACGCGCGCACTCACGAACGCACGCGTGAACGATAACAATGTATAAACGGGACTATCTTCCCAGACTGGACTAAATAAGTACCATACTCTTTAATAACAATCTTAATGCCTCACTTTTCCCAAACAGAGCACACAGGACGAGTCCAAGTGTGTGCTTTCCCAAGAGGGGGGAATAGGCTTTCATAACGCAAACACAATGCCATACCACTTCTCAAGATGTATGCTTTTCTGTTTCTATTCTTCTGTCATGCAATCAAGCAAATAAAAATGACTACATCTATTGTATTGTGACTAAAATGCAAAAAAAATGCAAGTTATCAAGGCCCCCGTTTAGTTTTCAAGTATCCTTCCCCCCCTTTCCATTTCAGATAAGCGGGGCCTCGTTTGTAGCGCCCGAGGCGACCGATGGCTGATGACGTCACTCAGTGGAAATTTCCACGCCGCCGGCCGTTCACCCAGCACGCGCAAATGACAATGTCGCTTTTTCCCTTAGTTACTCCCACTTTTAAAGATTACGCCAAAACCGCTAAACACAGAAGCATGAAATTTTAAGGGAATAAAGAAAAATGGTGTACAACGTATCAGTCAGTTTGACAAATCACAGCTCCGAAAAACCTTCAAAGCGCACCACATCAACCACTTTCGCAAACATTTTCGACTGCTTCTAGGATGGGTACAATGTTGTCAAACTACATACTACGAGATTGACCTCTTTTCTGATTGGCTGCCAAGTTTCATTCATATCCATTCACGAGAAGCGGCGTGAGAGCGAGTTGAAGACAACAACCTTTGCGTTAGTGCGTCCCACGAAACACCCCCACGGCGGGGGCCAAAAATCGGCAGAACAAAATGCGCTCAGTGGGCATTGATACATTGCGAAACAGTCCAGCAAGCATCTCAAGATGGACTGCGGTTGTTGTGAAGTTCTCATTGTGATCCCCTGTGGGTACTTCTGTAAAATTGTTATAGTCCAGCTTTGTTTGTGAAGCAGTTTTGGAAGATGTCGGTGAGGAAGCTGCGGTATTTTCAGCGACTGGTGGAGTAGTCACTGAGGCAGAGTTACAAGCTGACGTGGTTTCAGCGACTGGTCGTGTAGTCACCGAGACAGAGTGTAGTCACTGGGGCACCGAAGCAGAGTGTAGTCACCGAGGCAGAGTGTAGTCACCGAGGCACCGAGGCAGAGTGTAGTCACCGAGGCAGAGTGTAGTCACCGAGGCAGAGTGTAGTCACCGAGGCAGTCACGAGCTGACATGGTTTCAGCCACTGGTCGTGTAGTCACCGAGGCAAAGTGTAGTCACCGAGGCAGAGTCACCTGTAAAAATATAAAAAGCCCCGTCAGCATGTACAAACTGCAAATGGCATTTATTCAAACTCAAAACATACATAAAATGAATTGAGTGTCTGGGTTAGAGAAGTAAATACCAGTGCCAGTGTGAGTCTGTTCCGTCAGAGCTAAATTCTATAAAAATAATGATAAACCTATAGTAAAATGACTAAAAAATCCTTCACCATGCACAGACATTCTAAAATCCTAAAATCTAAAATAAGTCAAGTAGATAATTTAGATCTAGATCTAGAATAGATTCTAGATCTAGTCACTAGATCTAGATCTAGCTAAATGTAAGTAAGCAAACACAAGCTAAACCGAGAACCGAGAAAGATTCTAGATCTAGCTCTAAATCTATATCTGAAGGAAAATAACATGACATCAATCTAAACATAACTCTCTACCTAGATCTGAGAGTTGCTCCTTTTTTCTTCTTTGTTTTTTGAAGTTTTTTGTCTGGATCTGAGGGATTCCTAATTTGTGGTCGAAAAAGAAAGCGTGGTTGATCGTTTCTCTGCTTCGAATTCTAATAGTGCGGCTGCAAGATTGGCTTCAAATACAAAATCAACAATAATCAATGATAAAAAATGCATTGACTTACCTTTGCCTTTACAGACAGGGTTGAAATCAAAGATTTTTGCTGGAAATAAAGCACTTGTAACGCAGTTGAACTGGAATAACTTGATGGTGGTCACAATTCACAATTGCTGGCTGTCAAGGTAAACAAAGTGGGAATAGCGAACGGAAGTCACCTCGGGGGCATGATCTGGCCAATCAAAATTCATAGTTTGGGGGGTGTGTCCCAATCAGCCAACGAAATGCGAGAATTTGTTACTTGCACATAGTGTTTTTTTTACCTGTTTAGGAATGTTCTATCCGTATGTCAGCGTCGAGCATTTGATGAGTGAATGCGCGAAATGTTGACGTTTACAAGGGTACCAAACACTTAGGGGTTGTCGGCGTGTATAAACGGGTAACGGTGGGGTAAAAAAGGTGCCTTTTTTTAACCAATGTACCCAAAAACTTGCACAAGTTACGATCTTTTATGCAAATTTTGAGCATTTTATAGATGTTTTAGACACTTGGAAATATTTCCAATCGATAGAGCAGATGTTGTTCTACTAAAATAGGCCAAAATCGAAAAATCGATTTTAGACACCTAAAACGACTTCTTCTGGCTGTTGGCTACTGCCGTGGTGTTCCTTAAACAGACTAACATAATTACACAAAAAACTGATTAGAAGATTCATATCTGGAGACAGAAAACTAATCTTTTCGCTGAAATAGGAAAAAAAAAGGAATAATTGCAAACCAATGGCCGGTAATTCAAAGAAAATAAATTTCTATGAAGTGACAATCGTTTTGTAAAATCCATAGCAACATTTTTTAAAACTAGGTTGAAAAGTTATATTCACCTTTGGCTTGAGAATTGCCTCCACACTGCTGTCAATATTTGTTTCAAAAACATGGGCTTTGGTTAGCTTTTTGTCCCAATGAGCAGCTAGCCAAATACGAGCCAAAGGGCCCTTCTTATTTAGCACGAAGCTTGCGTAGAACATCTTGGCGTTTTTTCAATCAGACAACTGTAATTCTGCAAATGAAACAAAAAAAAGCAGTAAGTACACATGAGTCAATTAGGCCAAAACTTGTATAGAGGACAAAAAACTCCTAATGATACTGCCAAATTCAAAATGACGGGCAGTCCTTTAACTTTCAATGTTTTTCTTTCTTTTTGCTTTCACCCATTTTCATGGTGTTTTCCCAACCCGGATATCTGAAAATAACATTCCTAGCCTCTCCAGTTGAGTTTAGTGAATTTTAGTTTTTAGTTTTAGTAGAGGTTTTACGGCACTAGCAACTGCATACAGTCATATGATCGCCAATTTAGTGAATTTGATTGAAAAACTGAACAATATGATGATTTTTTAAATATCAATACTCCATCATCTTCGTTGCTTTGACCACCTAACACTAACTCATTAACTGGAAGTTGACACAGCCTCTCTGGCAAAAGATTTTTAAAAAAGATGGGATGCCAGAGTAGACTAAAAGTTGTCAAGACCAGTTCAGAAGATGAAAATTAAAAGCTGATTGTATGCTGAAGGGAAAATCCATAGTGGAGATCAAAAGACTTGCTGGAGATGAGGCAGAGGACAGAAAAATGAATCCTTTCATAATAACTTTACAAAAGGAGGAAAAGTAACATATTAACAGGATCCACTGCTCCACTCCAGAGACTTCATCATGTATGACCTATTTTTGTTAAATTTCAAAAAGTTCTTGTATCAATATTGTTAATCAACTGCTCCTTAATAGAAAATAATTCTATTTTAAGAGGATGATTATTGACAAGCGTAGCCCAGTTCATGTTTTCCAAGTACTGCTCATGTAAAACCTGACCCATAGTCACAGGTAGAGGTCACCACTGTCAAAAAAAATAACAAATCACGTAATGAGGGATGAGAAGTTTCAACCAGTCAGGTAAGTGTTGAAGGAGATACAAAAAGTCATCGTAGCCAAATATTTGGCTATGTTAGAATTATTGTTTAGTCTGCTACTGAGACCATCAAACTATTCATCAATAGTAGGGTAAGGGGAGAAATCTTCAACTAATTCACATTCTAAGAGATAGTAAAAACTTAACAATCAATCATCACATAAATATAATAAATAAGCTGTTTGCAGAAAGAAATGTCATGTATCGAATGAAAAATTTGATGTACAATAAAACTAATAAAACCAAGAAAGAGTGATACATTAGTTAATACTTCTAATTAATCATAATGAAGTCTATAAAGGCATAATTAAACTTGCGCTGTTTTAACTATTAAATTTGATGTCCACGACCTCAGCACACTAGGCTTAAACAACGACGTATCTCCTAGTCCTGTTAATCTTTACTTTCACTCCCGCACATAGGTGCACTGCTTTTAGGGGGTCAAACAGCCATATTTTTGGCTGCAGACCACACATATACGGCCAATACATAGGACTGGGCAGGTACCAGTAAACAGTACCAGAACTCCCAGTACTACCATAGGCGGTGTCAGCACTGGCACCAGGCCTCCAGTCCTGGTACTAGGAAGGTGCCAGCACTAAGTACCGGCTCTGGGAAAGTGCCGTATATCCCATGCTGAGCACTGCAGATGATGTGCCCTTAAAGTATAAAGATCCAGTTACTGTGCAATGTGTGGAACCTGTGACAGACGCACAGCTCAAAGCAGTAGGTGATTTTGATACGTGACCTTATGTTAAAAATTGACAATCAATTAAGAATAAAATTATCCTAGTCAAAGTTTAGACCCAGCGAGTGATATAACTTTAGGTGGAGAGCTCAGGTGTGAGTGTGATGTTTGAGTTTGGGGAAAACAAACGTGTCAGTCAGTTCACACCCTGCCTGGTGTGGTCCCGTCTGGGGCAAATATTGTATCGCTTCATCAAGTTTTACGTGTATGTGATCACATTCACGATAGTGGCTGATCTTTGACGCGACGGACAGTTTATTTATCTCAACTTTTCACTCCTGGTTGATCAGCTGTCCCGCCCAGGTTTTTGTTCCGCAAATTATGATCTGAAATGCGGGATCTTAGGGATGACTTTTGTATAGTAAAAATTCTGTGTTCTTAAAACAGCGAGATCTTAAGCGAACCGGGATCGTAAGCAGTGGGATCTTAAGCGGAGACTACTGTAGTATCACACACACACAGTCACTAACTCATCTATCTCTCTGTGTGCATGTTTGTCGTTTTAACTGTAGTAGCCTATTATTTATTTTCTCTTTCTCTCCTGTTATTGCAGCGTTCCTTGGTGCATCTCATACTAATTGACACTGATCTTTTGATTTCTAATAATGCTTACTTCTAGAAATCCTGTCATCAATACTATCTAAATCTCATGAATACTATCAATAATATTGCTTAGGATATATTCTAGGCCTAGATTTCGTGATAGTCAATGTCTAGGCCAAGATAAAGATTTAGTAGATCGTGAGCCTACGAACGCGGTGCCAGTACACTATCCTCTGATCTGAGACAAACATTACGTTTTTCTTTTTAAACAATTTAGATCTTTATAAATTATCGGAATACCTTGATCAATACTTTAGTTTGGTAGATAGATCTAGATTAGAATGGGCCCTAGAATAGGGTTAACTAGGACGCTCTCATACATACTCTATCCAAAAAGCCCAAGGCCAAGCCATCAGGGCTCAGTCACACGCTCGCTGGGGGCATGGCCTATTTTACATACATGTGCTACATTTTTTTATGACAGAGGGAAAGAGGCAGCAGCAGCATCTTACCGTAGGGTGTAGTATCTTTGCTTGTAGTGAAATAGACATGGGGTAGGGGAGGACTGATAAAAAGATGCAGCAGGCGAGACACTATATGCAGAGCCTGACATAATCTATTCTCAGTACTGCTATATAAGTGGAACTCCACACACAGTATCAGTGAAGTACCCATACAGAATTTCACCATTACAGCCCAGCACTAAAACTAAAACCTTCATAATTTACTTATTTTCCACAAAATTTCGGTATGATTTTACTTTCAGGTAGTATTGTACAAGAGAGCGGCTATCTATTCGGAATCGAGTATGAATAGCCTCCCGTGGCTATTCGGACTCAAACTCCAATGCGCGAGCGCAATCAGCAGGTGTGAACAGACAGGCAATCCGACCGTGGCCTTCCATTTCTACGATCTGGCTAAAATTTTTGACAAGTCAAAAAAAGTATTCGTGACGTTAAAAAAGTGAACAATTTGACCATGATATAATGTTTTGCAATTAAGTTTGAAAGGCTATCTCTCCGACACGCGAATCAAAAGGTAATCGTTTAGACTTACAACCAGAAGTAATTGTCGTTGGGGTCAAAACTAGATCTAGATTTTCTCTGGGTTAGATTTCCCTGTCACAAAAGTCGGGACCACCATATCCAAGTAGTGCCGCCTTTCAACTTTCTTTGCTTAAATTTTGATTTTCTCCTCAACGATTACCTGGCAATTCAGGGTCTCTGGCATTCAGCTTTGGACTTTAACGAACGAAACTACAAAATAAAATCGCCGTGAGCGATTCTTTGCTGAAACTCACATTCCCACCGCCACCATAAAGGGAGTGTATACAGACCCGAGAACAAAGTCACGAAGTATACAACAGACACGGTAGGGAACTCTTTTGTGACTTCGGAAAGTTTCAGCGCCCAGACCCGGTAGTGTGTGTGTGAGAGAGAGAGAGAGAGAGAGAGAGAGAGAGAGAGAGAGAGGGGGGGGGAAGAGAGAGAGG